ATGAATGTTTCTGTTCAATTATTATTTTATACATGAATGTTTCTGTTCAATTATTATTTTATACATGAATGTTTCTGTTCAATTATTATTTTATACATGAATGTTTCTGTTAAATTATTATTTTATACATGAATGTTTCTGTTCAGTCCCTGAGACGACTTCTGTTGTGACTTGGCGCTACATACAGGCACTGGTCATCAAATTAGAATTTTCAATTCAATTCAAAAATACTTTATTAATCCCAGAGGGAAATTATTTGTTGTTGTAACTCGTTATCCTCATTTCATTAAGAGATGTTATAGATGCTGATGCTGTAGGCAGGAATGATCTCTTGTAAAGGTCCATCCCACAGTGGATCCTAAGAAACTGGCTGCAGATGCCGTCTGATCCGTCCACCCAGACTCGGCTGGCCTCTCGGTTCTTCGGGCTGTAGGACCGCCCAAATGCCGGGCAGAAATCCTCCCAGAGCGATGGCCACTCCTCCCAGCAGTCTGCCGAGCTCCTCGTAGCTGTGGACAGACAACTGTAGGTGCAGAGGTACGATCCTGTCCTTCTTCTGTCATGAGCCGTGTTTCCTGCTAGTTCCAGGATCTCAGTGGTCAGGCACTCGAGCACAGCTGGCAGGTAGATGAGAATGCGTCCACAGAACATCCTTTTCAACTCACTTGAGATTTGGGGCTGTAGTTGAGATATTATTTGAGCTTTTGAGATGTTAATCAGCTGCTGGTTGTAGAAAACTGCCTTGTTGCCATGGTTACGCATCATAACAAATGTCCAAAACTAAAAGAGTTTCAGTAAAAATCCTTCCAGCTGCACAGCATCTGATACCAGAGGAAACAATCATCCAAAAAATGTGATTTACATCCAGAAAAAGAGGAATTAAAGTTTCCAAAAGCAAAATCTCAGAATGAAAGTAAGAGAGCTGCTCCAACATGCAGCCACCTTGAGCGGAGCAGTTCTGGAACATAAAAGAAAACATTAAAAACATAAAACATTAAAAACATAAAACATTAAAAACATAAAACATTGAAAACATAAAACATTAATCAACTTTTACATATCATGTAAAAGTTGATTAATTTCAGTCATTCCATTCAGAAAGTGAAACTTGTACATTATATTCATTCATTACACACAGACTGAAATATTTTAAATGTTTATTTCTTCTAATGTTGATGATTATAACTGACAACTAATGAAAATCCCAAATTCAGTATCTCAGAAAATAAGAATATTACTTAAGACCAATTTTAAAAAAGTATTTTTATGAATGTTGGCTAACTGAAAAGTGTGAGCATGTACAGCATCAACACTTAGTTGTTGCTCCTTTTGCCTGG